AAATATGAAGGCCGAAGTAAATCATCGAATTTTAATGGAGAAAATATATATGTACCAATTTTTATACGCGTCTTCTTTATAGAAAAAACTGAGTGCACATGATACATGTATGAACTATGGTAGTAGTGTTTCAGGTTTTGATATTCTTATAATATATTTTCCCTTTTTATGCAACTATTTCGTATGTTTTGGCGCTTAGCATTTTCGATGAAGGTTTGTACAAAAAAACTGCTAGCGCTTGAAACCAAATAAATGTAGTATGCCGTGCTTTGGTTTTTGTCGAGCCCTAACGTCTAATGACATTATGGATTGTGATGGCATTTCAAATAAAGATTAAACTATCTCAGTTCAGACTGTATGCATTTTTATCTTTTGCATGTCAAAGGGACAGATTTAAAAACTATTATAGACAGATGAGTAAAACCTGTTCTGATTGGCCATGCTACATTGATATTCATTGTTTGATTACATCCATGTACTATATGGTAAACTCATCTAGGTCACGTGTTACGTTTACAACATAGACGCAGACGTATATTTGGCGCTTTAGTTACTGTTAACAAGAAGCCTCGTCTGAACGTGAATCACGTGACGTGAAGAAATATGTTGAAGTGATCATTCTAGTTGTACCTTTTAATATCTTCTTTATTTTCCACTACTTTTCAAGCAAACCAACTGTTGTTTTAACTTTTTCTCGAGACTTGTACTCGTATTACTTAAATTAGAATAACATTTATATTATTTGTTTTCTTTCTCGATATATTTTCAATCATTGTTTGATTATGTTTTTTGGCATATAATAACGCATGTTTCTTTATCTAAATGCATTTAATATATTCATTATTCAGGGGCGGATCCAGCCATTTTTAAAAGGGGGGTTCCAACTGTATGTCCCCATTCAAATGCATTGATCGTCAAAAAAAGGGGGGTTCCAACCCCCGTAACCCCCCCCCCCCCTGGATCCGCCACTGTTATTTCTGTTTCTAATAACCATATCTCTAACTGTTAATGACGTCTTCACACTAAATCCATTGGATGCTGGATGTGCACTGATTGATATTTTAGTCTTAAATACATGATTTATTTATCAGTTGTTATTGGCTTTAAACTTGCTGTCAGTAAATAAATTCATCATAGATACCAGGATGTAAATTTTATATTTGCGAGTACTCTCAGATCTTTACGTGGTGTCCTTTTTGTTGAGGGATGTATAGATATGCTGCCACGTCCGGTCTGTGTTTTCGTTGGATGTTTTCTGCTTTGTATCGATCTGATGAGTTAAGCCCTTTTCAACTGATTTTTATAGTTTGTTGTACTGTTACACCACTGTTCCAGGTTAGGGGGAGGGTTTGGCACCAGCAAACTACTTTAACCCCGCCACATTATATATGTGCCTGTCCCAAGTCAGGAGCATGTAGTTCAGTGGTTGACGTTGGTTCATGTCTGTCATATTTTTTTTTCGTAAATTGTTTTGTTATAAATTAGGCCGTAAGTTTTCTCAATTGAATTGTTTCAAGTTTTTCATGTCGAGGCCTTTTATAGCCGACTATACGGAATGGGTTTTTCTCATTGTTGAAGGCCATACTGTTGACTATAATTGCTTATATCCACTTCATTTCAACTTTGGTGGATAGTTGTCTCATTTGCAAGCATACCACATGCATCTCCTTTTTTATATATATACCTGGAACATCTGATAATCGCTATAACCTCCCTTTAATCGCAATCTGGCAAAGAAAGACAATTCTTCTTACAAGAATAAAATATATATTATGATACGAAATTCCAAAAGCAAAATTTTTTGTCGAACTAAACTGAAAGGCACATTGTTAATGAATAATAGTTCAGTATGAAATGTCTTAATATGATTAAGTTTTTGATTGATTGTTGTTTGCTTAACGTCCAGTGGCAAATATTTCATGCATGTTCAAAACGATATGTTCAATTGGATTGAAACGGATATACCTAATAAAAGTTGACACTTTTTATGCCCCCGCCGAACGATATGTTTAATTGGATTGAAACGGATATACCTAATAAAAGTTGACACTTTTTATGCCCCCGCCGAAGCGGAGGGGGCATTTAGTTTTACCCTTGTCCGTCCGTCCGTACGTCCCAAAATTGGTTTCCGGTCTCTAACTTAAGTTTGCCTCAACCAAATGTTTTTTTTAAAAATTATACACAATGTTTATTACCACAAAACACAGATCAAGTTTGAATTTTGGGGGCGTCACTTTAACCATTCTAGAGTTATGCCCCTTTATAAATGGAAAAATTGCAAAATTTTTCATTTCCGTTCTCAAACTTAAGTTTGCCTCATCCAAATGTTATGAAACTTATACACAATGCTTATTACCACAATACACAGATCAAGTTTGAATTTTGGGGGCGTCACTTTTACTGTTCAAGAGTTATGCCCCTTTACAAATGGAAAAATTGCTAAATTTTTCATTTTTTTTCCAAAAATATAAATGTCATTATTCAAGTAATTTTTAAAATTGGAGTTATCTTCCTTTGTCCATGATTATAGTTAAATCAACTACAATCAATGCTTTATACAATGCAATGTTTAATTTTGCCTTCCACTGATAAATAAAGGCAACAGTAGTATACCGCTGTTCGAAATTCATAAATCGATTGAGAAAAAAACAAATCCGGGTTACAAACTAAAACTGAGGGAAACACATCAAATATAAGAGGAGAACTACGACACAACAGAAACACAACATTAAAATGTAAAACACACAGAAACGAACTATAATATAACAATGGCCATTTTCCTGACTTGGTACAGGACATTTTAAGAAAAAAATGGTGGGTTGAACCTGGTTTTGTGGCTAGCCAAACCTCGCACTTTTATGGCAATGTTAAATATAACACTAAAATGACACCATTACATGACATGAATACAGTACAACATTACGGACAGAGAATTACGCAAATAAACAATACAATATAGTACATTTGGACAACGAAACAACAGAAACACTGAAGTGAACAAACATCAAACGACAATGCAACACACACAGAGACAAACTATACGATAACAATTGCCATTTTCCTGACTTGGTACAGGACATTTTTAAGAAAAAAAATGGTGGGTTGAACCTGGTTTTGTGGCTAGCCAAACCTCCCGCTTTTATGGCAATGTTAAATATAACATTAAAATGACAACATTACATGACAGGACTACAATACAAATAAATGGGAGCACATATAGGACAGAGAAACATACGAATAATAGCTAACAAAAGGTACCAGGTTTAAAATTTAATACGCAAGACGCGCGTTTCGTCCACACAAGACTAACCAGTGACGTTCAGATAAAAAAAGTACGAAAGCTAAAACAAGTACAAAGTTGAAGAGCATTGAGGACCAAAAGTTCCAAAAAGTTGTGCCAAATACGGCTAAGGTTATATGTCTGGGATAAGAAAATCCTTAGTATTTAGAATAATTCATACTTTTGCAAACAGTAAATTTATAAAAATTACTGTATAATAGATATACATGACAACACCGAAGTGGTGACTAACTACAGAATAAAAACGGATACATAAAACAACATAAACCAGCACATAAAAATTCACAGCCGAGTTAGCCAAAATGATCAACGCAAAAAAAGTGACGTCACATTTGAATTTCTGAAATTTCCCCAAAATAGGATAGAATTAGCATAGAATTCAAGATTTAGCTTATAATACACATAAAATACAGATCAAGTTGAATTTGGGTAGTGTCACTTTAACCATTATTGAGTTATGACCCTTTATAAATCGAAAAATTGTAAAATTTTTAGTTTCCATTCTGTAACTTAAGTTTGCCCCCAACCAAACATTATGAAACCTATACACAATACTCAAATATTGTTTCTGTTCTCTAACTTTAGTTTTCCTCAACCAAATGTTATAAAACTTATACACAACCGTTCTAGAGTTATGCGTGTTTACAAAAAGAAATATTGCTGAATTTTTCGTTTCTGTTCACTACTTAAGTTAGCCTCAACCAAATGTTATGAGACTTACACACAATGCTTATTACCACAAAACTCAGATCAAGTTCAAATTTGGGTAGCGTCACTTTTACCGTTCTTCAGTTATGTCCCTTTATAACTATATGATATGCAAGCGGGGGCATTATCTGTGTCCACATGTGGACACAATCCACATTTATTTTTTATATAAAGTGAAAACGTATTTGCAAAATAATGTTTTTATTGAAAGCATCCTGCCGACTTCATGAAAAATATGTGGACCTTTATAAAATTAGAAATAAGAAATGATATACTTAATTGACTGGTAATAGGTTTTGATACACTATTATGAAAGGGCCTCACATCTTGAATTACTTAACAATAAATAAGAATCCAGCGAAATATAGTTTACAACATATTTGTACAGAGTTAGTAGTGTAATATACAACTATATAACACTGATAACGAGATACACGTGTGAAATAATCATCTAATCAGGTGTTTGTTTATTATATATTGTTGATATTTATTATAACAAACAACTGCAAGACGTACAGACAGTGTTGTGTGCATATTAATCATACATGTTTGTTGCTAACTGACCAACGGAATTAATTATGATACAGCTATGTTTTCATCTTCCCAATTTACAGACCTGTCAATCATCTCGTACTATTGACGTTTGTCTGACGGGTAATTGGTCAACCTAAATATGCCACACGGGTTAACGTCATATTACTGTGATGAAAATTACAAATGATTAAAGGAATAAAAAATTGAGAAAAATAATAACTGTACAAGATGGAAAAAAAGATAGCAAATCTTTAAAGTATGACAAGTCCAGAGTAACTGTACAAGATAGAAAAAAGATAGCAACTCCTTAAAGTATGACAATTCTAAAAGTAACTGTACAAGATGGAAAAAAGATAGCAACTTTTTAAAGAATGACAGAAAAAAGATAGCAACTCTTTAAAGTATGACAAGTCTGAGTAACTGTACAAGATAAATAAAGATAGCAACTCTTTAAAGTATGACAAGTCTGAGTAACTGTACAAGGTATAAAAAGATAGCAACTCTTTATTGTATGACAAGTCTGAGTAACTGTACTAGATAGAAGAAAAGATAGCAACTCTTTATTGTATGACAAGTCTAAGTAACTGTACAAGATAGAAAAAAGATAGCAACTCTTTAAAGTATGACAACTCTAAAAGTAACTGTACAAGACAGAAAAAGGATAGCAACTCCTTAAAGTATGACAATTCTAAAAGTAACTGTACAAGATAGAAAAAAGATAGCAACTCTTTAAAATATGACAATTCTAAAAGTAACTGTACAAGATACAAAAAGGATAGCAACTCTTTAAAGTATGACAAGTCTGAGTAACTGTAAAGGGTATAAAAAGATAGCAACTCTTTATTGTATGACAAGTCTGAGTAACTGTACAATATAGAAAAAAAGATAGCAACTCTTTAAAGTATGACAATTCTAAAAGTAACTGTACAAGATAGAAAAAGGATAGCAACTCCTTAAAGTATGACAATTCTAAAAGTAACTATACAAGATTTAAAAAAGATAGCAACTCTTTAAAGTATGACAAGTCTAAGTAACTGTACAAGATAGAAAAAAGAGAGTAACTCTTTAAAGTATGACAATTCAAAAAGTAACTGTACAAGATAGAAAAAAGAGCAACTCTTTAAAGTATGACAATTCTGAGTAACTGTACAAGATAGAAAAAAGATAGCAACCATTAAAAGTATGACAATTCTGATTAACTGTACAAGATAGAAAAAAGATAGCAACTCTTTAAAGTATGACAATTGTAAAGTAGTTTCTCTATTTATATCTTACTTGACTTTACTTTGAAACTGTCAGTTAACGTCGAATAACAAACATCAAAGGCAAATCAGATAAAAAGTGTCACCATCCTTGATCAGACATCTCACTTATTGCTTTGATTTTCGAAAGTAAAGAACATTTGATGAACATATAAACTTTTTTCCTCTAGAATATGTTTCTATTCTGAGTTTTTAAGTAACAACACCTGCTGTTTGCATTTCTGTACAATTATGATTATGTTTTTTGTCCAGAATAGTTGTCATTTTTCTGACATATGTTTCTGTTTGAACGTTGTATGTTTCACATGGTCTATGGTAATCATTGTAATTTTAATTATATTATTATTACCACATCATAATAACAGATAATTAATGCGAAAACTACGGTTATAAGTAATATCTACTGGACATTACATAAAATTGCATTTATGGACAGTAAAATATCACATACGTCTAATGGATTCCAACAGAGTAACATTTTATTACTGTATAAAAATAAGAAGATGTGGTATGATTGCCAATGATACAACTATCCACCACAGACCGAATGACGTAGAAGTAAGCAACTATAGGTCAATGTACGGCCTTCTACAATGAGCAAAACCCATATCGTATAGCAAGTTATTAAAGGTCTCGACATGACACATGTAAATCAAGTCAAAGAGAAAACGAACGACCTGGTTTATGTACAAAACAATAAACGAAAAATAAATATGATATACAGCAACAAACGAAAACAAATGAATTATAGGCTCCTGACTTAGAATAGGCACATATATGTTTGTCCAATGTTGAATTTGTACGAAAGATGAAAACGAGGCGATGTGTTTTTCCGACCAACATACAAATGCTGCTGACTTTTTTTTTTTTATCTTATCATTGATTATTTAAATGGTTGGCTTCACACGATTTCAATCTATCGTGTTATTTGCTACTAATAAACAAAATATTCAGCAACATCTGTTTTTCTCAATTTCAAATCTTAACTATACTTCTTGTAAAATATTTTGAAAATGATGATATTTCTGATATATTGTTTAATTATACAGTTACACATTTCTATAATCCATATGCAATGACTAGCATGTCAACACTGAGGTTGTGTGTTCGAACCCCGCTCCTGGCAGGTGTGGTCCGTTCGACTCTATTTCTTGATTGACTAGGATTGTTAGTTTTCTTACCGAAGGTATGTGGTATTCTCTTGGCAAAAAAAAACTGGTCGCTATAATATAGCAAATAGCATTGAAAGTGGCGTTAAACTATTAGAATTAATCAATCCATCAATCAATCAAAATTTCTTATTTTATCAAATACTTGTATCTTAAAACAATCACATAGACCTTTTTTTTTATTATTCAATGATTATGCATTATTGTTGAATGGAGAAGAAGTCAGTTGTTATTTCAAATATCAGCAGGGACATTCGTCACCCCGCCACATTCTTTATCTGCCTGTCCAAAGTCAGAAGCCTGTAGTTCAGTGGTTATCGTTGGTTCAAGTCTGTCATATTTGTTTTTTGTAAATTGTTTTGTTATGAATTAGGCCTTTAGTTTTCTCAATTGAATTGTTTCACATTTTTATGTCGGGGCCTTTTATAGCCGACTATACGGTATGGGTTTTTCTCTTTGTTGAAAGTCGGATGGTTGCCTATAATTGCTAAAATCCACTTCATTTGAACATGTGGATAGTTGTCTAGTTGGCAATCATATCACATCTCCTTATTTTTATGTTAAGTTATTATTTTGTGGATTTCTTTCTTTCTTTCTTTCTTTTGTTCAGTCTTCCTTTGGTTTAGTTGTCGTTATCAGTACTTCCATAGACTCAAAGTTATAATTTCATTTTATAAGAGTGCGATATTTATCTATAAGAACATGATGTATTTTTGTATATTGTTTTCTCACAATCTTAAGTTCATGCATCATTTACGAACTGAACCCTGTCTCGTGTTTATCTCATCAGAGGTTGTCGATGGCTAATTTCTTTTTTGAAAGTTTTTTTTATCTTGGTATAATGGTAGATCTCATCACTGTTGGATTAATTCATAATTTATCTAGACATATGGAGACTAAGAGATCAGTCCAATACAGCGTGTCTGTTAGTCCATTGTAAAGACTAAGAGATCAGTTCAATACAGCGTGTCTGTTAGTCCATTGTAAAGACTAAGAGATCAGTCCAATACAGCGTGTCTGTTACTCCATTGTAAAGACTAAGAGATCAGTCCAATACAGCGTGTCTCTTACTCCATTGTAAAGACTAAGAGATCAGTCCAATACAGCGTGCCTGTTAGTCTATTGTAAAGACTAAGAGAAAAGTTATAGTTTCATTTTGTAAGGAGTGCGATATTTATCTATAATAATAATAAGAACATGATGTATTTTTGTGTAGATGACATCTCTCCGTCTTTTTTTATATTCATTCTGTATTCAATTGGTTTTTTTTTTTTGGTTTTTTGTTTTTTGTTTTGCTTTTTTGTATCGACTACATTTTTGAAAAAAGTGACCCATTTCTGTCATTATCTTTTTCAAATAACTATACAAATTACGACTGCCTCATACCCTTCCCAAATAACTATACAAATTACGACTGCCTCATAGCCTTCCCAAATAACTATACAAATTACGACTGTCTCATACCCTGCCCAAATAACTATACAAATTACGACTACCTCATACCCTTCCCAAATAACTACAAATTACAACTGCCTCATACCCTTCCCAAATAACTATACAAATTACGACTACCTCATACCCTTCCCAAATAACTACAAATTACAACTGCCTCATACCCTTCCCAAATAACTATACAAATTACGACTGTCTCATACCCTCCCCTAATAACTATACAAATTACGACTGCCTCATACCCTGCCTGAATAATTATACAAATTACGACTGCCTCATACCCTGCCCGAATAACTATACAAATTACGACTGCCTCATACCTTGCTCAAATAACTATACAAATTACGACTGCCTCATACCTTGCCCAAATAACTATACAAATTACGACTGCCTCATACCCTGCCCAAATAACTACACACATTACGACTGCCTCATACCCTGCCCAAATAACTATACAAATTACGAATGCCTCATACCCTGCTTAAATAACTATACAAATTACGACTGCCTCATACCCTGCCCTAATAACTATACAAATAACGACTGCCTCATACCCTGCCCAAATAACTATACAAATTACGACTCCTCATACCCTGCCTAAATGACTATACAAATTACGACTGCCTCATACCCTGCTGAAATAACTATACTTGCCTCATACCCTGCCCAAATAACTATACAAATTACGACTGCCTCATACCCTGCTCAACTAACTATACAATCACGACTGCCTCATACCCTGCCCAAATAACTATACAAATTACGACTGCCTAATACCTTGCGAAAGACAATTCCATCAAAAACTTGCAAAGAATTATAGATAGAACCAAAATTACTGTCATGTAAAATCAATGTCAGAAGAATAATCGGTTAACTAACTTGTGTACGGAAATAGCTACCTAATGTTTTATTTCCCTATTAAATTCACAGTTTATTCGGGGTTTTTTTTGTAATATAAGTAAAGTTTGATGAAGTATCCCGCCTTTTACAAACAAACAGATGCCGAACGTTATGTAAAAACTACTTGTCAAAATAAGAAACATGAAGATACATGGTATCTATAATAAGCAACACCTAAGTATTCTTAACAGATTTGTTGACACAGAGGGTCCCAGACGTTTACGTTTTGAAGCTATCAAACTAATTTGATATTTTTAGCCATCTGACGAACTCTTTCTTGCAGAAGACAAGTGTATTCTATTGTTATGTTATTTGCTTGACATAAGACATGCTTCATTAATTTATTTTTTACTTGAAGTAAACAGTTGCTAATTTAGAGGCCTTGGGCTCTCTGTGATTGTTGTTATTTATTTCCCTACAATACGCACTGGTTTATACATTTGACATTCCGCACATTTGAGAGAGAAAACAACTGCAATAAACTCTACAAGATTAAATTGAGTAACAAAACAAATCCTTAACACACATTAATTGCAGAAAAAAATAATGAATGTCAAATACCGTACTTGTTTAAAGCGCTTATCCCATTTTTATTTCAGTTATTGTTTTACAATACAATTGGTTTCGTTAATTATTTTACCAAATATTAAAATTCTGCACAACCTTTACCTTGAAAGCAAACTCTGGAAAATTATAAGTCATCTGACTTAAAAAACACATCCGGTGTCCACGATTATCATCTAATCAGATTGATGGAAATTGATATCAATTATAATTTTGGGAACATGATGGCGTATATTTTTGCAAGTTTTATTTTCATTTTGTTGTTGCTCATGATTTATCCATTTGTTTTTAACATTTTGTTGATGTTTGTTTGATATTTTGTGTTATTTTAAGCCTTGTGCTGTGTTGATAGAGAAACAACTATGTAACCGTAATTTCAGAAATTCGAAAGTCCAAAAACGAAAAAAATGTTCTAAGTTAAAACAATCAGCAGTTACGTACATTTTTGACTAGGTACATGTAATTTCCATAGTAAAGAATTTGGTTCAACAAGAGTTTTTTTTTGGAGCCAAACAACGCTTAACAAACGCTTATCGTACAATTAATCCATAGTGTATATTGTTTTCTCACAATCTTAAGTTCGTGCATCATTTACGAACTGAACCCTGTCGCGTGTTTATCTCATCAGTGGTTGTCGATGTCTAATTTCTTTTTTGAAAGTTTTTTTTATCTTGGTATAATGGTAGGTCTCATCACTGTTGGATTAATTCATAATTTATCTAGACATATGTTTCAGTTTTGATTAATAAGTTACTATTATTCAAACTTCAAATTCAATCATGACATTTTATTTTTTTATTTTTTAGGATATGGTCATGTAGCTCCGAAGACAGACATGGGTAGAATTGTGACGATAGGATATGCTGTATTTGGAATACCTCTGACGTTATTGTGTCTCACTAATATTGGAGATTTAATGGCTACTGGTTTCCGAATGTTATATGCCAGAGTCTGTTGTGGTGTTTGTTGTTTACTTTTTACCCCAAGCAGAAGAAAAATGCCGGATCCGGAAAAGGCGTTAGAAAGCGGAAGTATAGAATATCAAGAAGGCAAAGCTACAGACAAATTTCCGGAAGTGATAAATGTTCCGACTTCAGTTTGTATTTTATTAATGACATCCTATATTTTGTTAGGAACGTTGCTTTTTTCAATATGGGAGGGATGGGATGCCATAACCGGAACCTATTTTTCTTTTATAACTTTAAGTACTATTGGATTTGGAGATGTAGTTCCAGGTACTGCTATGAACCAATGGGCAAACGAAGAAAAACTAGTACTATGTGCTATGTATTTAGTGTTTGGACTATCTTTAATTGCAATGTGTTTTAATCTAGTGCAAGAGGATGTAAAAAATAAATGTAGATGGCTCGGAGCCAAACTAGGCATAATAGATCGTTCAAAGTGACGAGAGAAATAAGTGACTTAACATATAACCTATTCCGTATAGATAAGTCATCTGAAGTGTAAAAGAAGTGTGTTCGAATTAAGAGATCTATGTGCACGTAAATTTTAATTAATGTTTATTTAATGTTGTTGAAAGGTATATCCAAGTTTGAGTGCGACAAAATTAACACCAGTACTGCAGTATTATTTATATCTTTAAAACATTGTAAATTTTCACTTCTTTACATTACAAACAAAAAATGTTTAAAGTCCTATGATCCTTCAAATTTAACAAAACAGCTGAATATGTTTTATATACTTGTGAGTCTTATGTAGACGAAACACAGGTCGATATATCTGGCATACCAAATGATAAGCCTGGCATCTTTGAGGAAATTTTCGAAATGCTAAGCTTTACTATCAAACACGTGTATTTAGACTTTCTTGTAAATAAAAATCCTTTATTTTATCCAAATATCCAGAAATTTACTGCTTTTGTATTATTGTCTTCCCGTCCTCTTATTCACCGACAGGTTTTCCGTATGCAAAGATATTAAACACGACACTTTTTTTTAGAAATTCGGCAGTCGCACGGCGTAAAGGCGAACGGAAAAAACCGTCATCACAGTAAACAACCGTAGAAGGAAGTTAGTATTAACTGGTTCAGAAAGAAAATTTTAGTACACCAAATTCATTTAACAACTGTTATGATAAAGTTTAATTAACAAATGGGGGCACATTGAAAATATGAATAAAAAAAAATAGATATCGCTCTACCATCTCATTTCTTATACACGTGCTCCATGGATGATTATGTGTTGCTTGTTTACCAAGGTCATGGCCGATTAATTTCGGCACCACATACCGAATGTTAATAAGCAACCAAAGTTTTGGACCAACAATCACCGATTTTGCGATATGGGCTCGTGATAAATGTTTTGAAAAAGATTATTTAGTTAAGTATGTATGCATTGATTGGTTTAATAATTTTCTTAACATTATAATTATCAAAAACTAGTTTCATATGGCTTTATTCATTCAAAGTGTTTTGTACTTTTAAAAAATAATTTCATCTGTTCATAATTAGATTTTTGTACTTACAGTATTGTACATTTAAATTGCTTTTTATACGCCCGTCAAATTTTTGACGGGACTTATTATGTTATACAAATGTCCGGCGTCCGTCCGTCTGTCTGTCCAACCGTCTGTCTGTCCGGCCGTCTGTTTGTCCGTCTGTCTGTCTGTCCGTCTGTCTGTCCGGCGTAAACATGTCGCACCGTAACTTGAAAATGACTTATCCAAATTTCATGAAACTTAACATAGTTGTTTCTTATGATGGTCAAACGATCTGTATACTTTTTGGTGAAAATTAAATTAAAACTTTTCGAGTTACGGGACTTAGTAACTAAAACAGGTGTGTGTTTTGTTTTTCACATGTCGCGCCGTATCTCAAAAACAATTTATGATTATTGCTTAAAACTTTACACACTTCTTAATTATATTAATCTTAAGATCTGTATACTTTTTGGTGATGATTCAAAATTTTATTTTAGAGATATTGAGTATTTTGTTAAAAAAGGGGGAGGGGTTTTTCACATGTCGCGCCGTATCTCAAAAACAGTTTATGATTATTGCTTAAAACTTTACACACTTCTTAGTTATATTAATCTAAAGATCTGTATACTTTTTGGTGATGATTCAAAATTTTATTTTTGAGTTATTGAGTATTTTGTAAAAAAAGGGGAGGGGTTTTTCACATGTCGCGCCGTATCTCAAAAACGATTTATGATTATTGCTTAAAATTTTACACACTTCTTAGTTATATTAATCTAAAGATCTGTATACTTTTTGGTTTTGATTCAAAATTTTATTTTTGATATATTGATTTTTTTTTTTTAAAAGGGGGGTTTTCACATGTCGCGCCGTATCTCAAAAACGATTTATGATAATTGCTTAAAATTTTACACACTTCTTAGTTATATTAATCTAAAGATCTGTATACTTTTTGGTTTTGATTCAAAATTTTATTTTAGAGATATTGAGTTTTTTGTAAAAAAAAAAGGGGGGTTTTCGCATGTCACGCCGTATGTCAGAAACTATTTATGTTTATTGCATAAAAATTCACACACAAGACGACGGGCGTATCATGCGCTCATGGCGCAGCTGTTTATTCACAAATGAACTAGTCAAGTTGAATCATACGTTTTAAACAGAAACATTTCAAATACAGTATCGTCAAACATTTGGGTTTTTTTTGGGGGGAATGGGGGGGGGGGGGGGGGGAAGGGGTAGAGAAGCAGCCTGATTGTTGAGTGACTCCAAAACATTTCCGATCAATAACGCAAAAAATATTCAATATTCAATGTTTTTTCAACTTTAATTTGTTTTTGCTTTCAATTCGTCAATATTGACATTTTTTCTCTTTTGCAGTTCATCAGTTTTGGTGCTTTTTTTTATAAATTGAGCTATGTGTCGTTTCTGTGCGACAACGCGAAATCTGTTCAATCAATCCGTTTCCAAGTTGAACATGTTGTTTCACATGACAAAATGATTTTTCGCGATTACATTTGCTGCTAAGGAGTTTTGGTCCTTGAATGATTAATACCTCATAGTGTCTGTGTATTTAGATAATTTGAGAACCGTTCAACACATCCTTTTCTAATTAAATAAGATGTGTATGGTGACAAAATAGGAGTTCATCTCCATTTAGAAAATTTTACTTGTACTGTGTAGGAGCATGGAAGTATTATTTTA